TTCCTCTTTTTTCCCCCCCCCCCCCCTTTTTGAGCCAGCTCAGCTTACACTGCAGGCATGTTCAGAGGTATTGCACTGCTCTCTGAGCAAGGAGATTAATGTCCCTTCTGTTGCTATTTGATGATATCTGGCGTGCCTTTCTGCAGGTGACCCCACGGAAGAAGTTCAAATGTCCGGAGTGCACGGCAATTGATGGGTTATCACTGGACCAGACACACATGGTGGAAAGGTGAGTGACCACCCTTTATTCCTCTTGATTGCCTTGTTCTGATCTCTAGAATCTTATCCTGTGTGTTGTTAAATTAGGATCAAAAATGCTCACTGAGTGTATTGCTGTAAATTGCTCATTTTGAAAGAATCTCGCATGGATATGAACAGCAAAAGTGATTCCTACAATGGATGATGTGACACTGAGAAGTGGACTGCTACAAGAAAGGACTGTAGAAGGGCAGTTTCTAGCAGCTTTGCTGTAAAGCGTATAGGACACATGAAATTCAGGTTCTTGGCAGTACTTTCAATAATACCACATTTCTGTTTTACTGTGGCACATCAACTGTAATGAGTATGAGATCTAGTTTCTTTTTGAACCAGGCAGTTGCTAGCTTACCAAAGAGAAACAAGGGTATAAATTATTCATAATGTTATTTGCATTGATGTTTGCATGTTATCTTTCCTCCAAAGGTTGTGAAGCACTTTGCTTCCACTAACGAAGGGCATTTGCCTGCACAATTGCATGTCACATTTTTTGACAATCCCAGCATTGGTATATTTTTGTGAGAGTTTAATTTTGAAGTGAAGTGTGTATTTGGTAAGGCAGTGAATGTTGAGAGTGGAATAATGTAAGTTGGTAACTATAAGAATTGCAGTCTCTAGTTGGCAATAAAATGGCTTCCTAACATTGACCAAGACACTAACCATCCCTCTGCCTTGGTGGCTTCTCAATGTGTAGAATAAGGGAAAGTTTCTTCACTTCTACAAAGCTGTTCAACACCCATGTTTGAAAAGGACTATCTGATAATCATAGAATGGTTTGGGTTGGAAGGGACCTTAAAGCTCATCCAGCTCCAACCCTCCTGCCATGCTAGTTACTAGGTGGAACTAACCTGAGATCTAGGACTGACAAAGGCACTTCACATTGGGTTTCTTGTGCAGTTGCATCTCTCCTTCAAACTTTGGGAAGAATAATTTGCAGCCATACAATTGATGGGGTAGGTAAGCTGGGTAGCCATAGTGCTGGAAAAGACCACCAGAAGAGGTGACAGAATAAAAAATACCTGACCTGCATTTAAAAGAGGCCATTTCAGATTTGCACTGAGGCACAAAACATGGTTATCTTACCAGTTATCATCTGAACAGTGAGCTTTTTTTCTGTCCTCTGCAGCAGTCAGCAAATTTAAAGTGTTGTATCCATTTACTGGCCTTTACTAATGTGAATGATATTTGTGTATTGTAATACATGCAGTGAACTAATGCAGAACTGGTGAGTAGTTTGGGGCTTATTTACAAGAAGAGTGCATACACATTGTCTGATGTGTAAACATACGTGCTACAACACACACAAACACATACATAGTTTGGCTGATTGATTATTAACAAAGGATCTTGACAAGTATTGAAAACCATAACCACCAAAGTTAGTGCCAGAGTATTTAGATTGGTTGTGTAATAAGGCTGGGTTAAAAAAGGGAGTATGCCAGTCAGAAGTAAAACATACCCCACTAAGATGGTAAAAAATGCTCTGCAGAAAACTTCTTAAGGAAGGGTCTGGAGGCTTTGAAGGTCTTAAAAGTGAGCTGAAGGGGAAGCACAAGAGGTTGTCCTGTGTAGCAATTCTGCACTGGCTTTACAGGATGCCAGTGCAGAATTGCTACCTGAAGCCAGATAAGCTTTCCTATGATCATACTAGTATCATTACAACAGGACATAGGAATTTTGATCATGAACTAGGTTGTCATTAAGGTAAACTCTGTGAAAACAGAAGATGAAAAAGTGCTTTTTGCTCCGCAGTGCATTATGATGCAGGGTAAAGGTCATGTTTCCATGTCCATAGCAATTCTTGTATCCTCAGAGTAAAGTATCATGGGCAGTTTATTGAGAACATGTTGAAACTGTTGCTTTGCTTCTCTGTAGTTTCCAACAGTAGAGATAACTGGGTTGTGGGAAATGTTAGATTGACTGCGAATCCACGTACTTTTATTTGCCCAGCCAAAGGGGAGGACATACTGAGATAGGGGATACACAGTTTGGGTGTATTCAGGCTCCATTTTGAAGATTGTTAATACACTGAAACATGCTACACCCAATAAATACCTTCTCAGCCTGTGTTGTTGTTGTTTACATGCAATATAAGGGAGTGAAAGGGTTTCTTACTTTGAATCTTCTAAGCTAGCTATTCATTTTAAGTGGGTAATAAATGATAGTAATTCTCCTAGAGCAGTAAGGCTCTTATGGCATCAGGGAATCCTTGTCATATTATCAAAGAATAATAACTTTATACAGATAACTTTACAGTCTTGGGTACCAAGAACAATACCTGGGCTATCAATCAGGCACAGAGCCATTATCAGCTCCACTTACAACTTCCCAATGTGCCTGACTCCTTGTTTTTTAGCATTCACAAATAAGGAGCAGGTAGTCTGAGCTGATCGTTTGCCCAGATATCCAGGGAGTTTAGCAGGGTTGTCATGGGCATGCACAACATTTAGTGTTACATTTCTGGTTCAGAAATAGCAGAGAGATGCCCAGCAACTGCCTGATGATTGTTTTGTAAGTGTAAAATGTTTGAGAAGTCATTTGTGGAGATCTGATCAGGAGGGACATGTAACTGTAAGTTCTGTTGGGCCTTTTGATACTTTCAGTGGAGACAAAGATGGCACAGTTGAACTCTTGTCTTCAGTATTAAGAGGGGATCTTTTGACCAGTACTGAAATATTTTTACAGCAACTCATGGGAAAGCCAACACTGCTGTTCTTCCTGCTGTGTAATTTCTGTGATATAAATGAAAGACTTCAGTCCCCAGGGTTATCAAGCTCCATCATTAAAATACATTAACTAAAGAAAGCTTTGAACCAAGAACCCGCTTCTTGCCCTAGGTTAGCCTTTCCATCAGGTCACAGATGAAGCTGTAGGAAGATCTCATAATCCCTGTATTTACAGGTGCTGTTTAGCAGCAAGTTTTCTGCCTTTAGCATCATTGCATCTGGCTCTCAAAAAAGGGAGACTCTATAAAATGCAGCCTAGAGGGCTACTGCCTCTACAGTAAGTACAACAAAGGGCTGAGCTGCTTCTGCAGTCACATTAACAGCAGCGTCTTCTTTAGGACATGTGTTTATTAGAGTCAAAATAGGAAGCCATTCCCTTCAGAGGCAAACAGACCAGGTAACAGTTGGCCAAAGGCTGCAGGTGCAGAGTTACCCTGCCAAAAAATCTTTGGGTTATAAGGGAGAGGAGACTGATTAAGAGAGTCCTTAACGGACATGAAGTTTACCCAATCTGCCAGGGGCAACAGGGCTCTCGAGTTCTGAGTTCACACAGTCTTAATTCCTTGTTGAGCACAACTGCATGGTGTCAGCAGGGCAAGGGAAAAACCCAAATAATGCTTGGAAGAAAACATGCCTCTGTTAGTATGAATTTGCAAAACTTTTGACACAGCCAAGAAAAACACCTTCCCTCCATATGAAGATGACATGTTACATTCTCTTGACTACCTAGCTTTGAATGTTTAATGTTCTAGATACCCTTTCTGGTTTATAGAATCCCAGTTGGATTGGGTTGGAAGGGACATTAAAGCTCATCCAGTTCCAACCCCCTGCCACAGGCAGGGGCACCCTCCACCAGAGCAGGGTGGTTCAACACCCCGTGCCTTGAACGCTGCCAGGGATGGGGCATTCACAACTTCCTTGGACAGCCTTGGATGCCTCAGCACCCACACAGGGAAGAATTTCTTCCTAATGTCTAACCTAAATCTCCCTCTGTCAGTTTAAAGCCATTCCCCCTTGTTCTGTCACTACAGTCCCTGATGAAGAGGGACATACATTGTCCAAAAGTGGCAAAGGTTTTGGAATTCAAGTGATTTAGTTCAGTGCCAAGAGATGAAATTTTTGGAAAGAGGTGACTTCCCTTCAAACATATTTTGTGGCTTTTCTGTGACATTTCTTTCATCTAAAAAAGCCTGTTTCTGATCTTTGAGTTTGATATTTCTTGAGGATTAGCTGCTCTAATTCAGCCAGAGTGATACGGGGTTTTCCATTTCTTCACTTCTTTAACAATGAATTGGTTTCTTGGTGGCTGAAGATGCACTGTACTGGTCTTGCATGGTCTTGCCACTAATGGTCTGCTGGAATGGTCTTGCCACCAGAATAAGTTTGACTGTATCACATAATCATAGAACAGTTTGGGTTGGAAGGGACCTTCAAAGGTCAGCTAGTCCAACCCCTATAGGATTCCATCTTGATACTTCCTCGTCAGACCTCATCTTTGATGTGGGAGTATAACTTTTGGAGGGAAGAGGTCGCTTTTGTCTCCGCTATCCATTTAGTCTTCTCTTTTGCTCTGAGGGTGCTGCTTAGTTTGGATTGTGACGATGGCTGATCTGATGTGGCCACCTGCCTGGCAGGCAGCAGGCTGAGATAACGAATTCATTTCACACTGGCCACCAAGCAGCTGTTACATTACAATGTCTTTCAGTCATTACTGTCAGAGGCAGGATTTGACCCAGTAGACTGGAAGTATTCTTGTATTCCAGACACCAGTGAGGGCCAGCAGCTGTGCAAACTCCTCACATGAACATCACTCAGTGCATCTACCTCCTCGCCTGTGAAGTCTGTGGTCTTCCTGCCATGAGATTTCTCCAGTACACACAACTTGGATAACATTTAGCCATGTTTATCAGAAATAACAGATGATTTGGAAGTCTTGACCTTACCTGAAAATCAGATGTGTTTAAGGTATCTCATCTTGGTCATCTTGTGGAGGCAACAGAAACTGCTTGGTGTTCCTGGAGAAAACACTCAGTTCCTGCTGTCCGTGTTACTGTAACCTGTCTGTCCCCATGGTTCCTGTGCCCAAAGCTCACTCTCCCCGTGGTTCACCTTGTTATTGGAGACATAGAACTTGAGTCTCTTCACTTAAGTCCTGACTGATGGCTCCTTTGCTGTTTCAGATCTGTGCTACCCAGGAGCAAATAGTGCTTGAGCTGGGCTAGAGGTTGCTTTCCACTGCACACAGTTTCCTCTTACACTCTGAATTCCTTTTGATTTGTTTCCTAGCCCAAAGATTAGAATCTGGAGGTAGGAAGAAGTATGAGGGGATGAGAACACTGGAGAAAGTTAGGACAAGGGGTAACGGGTTCAAACTTAAACAAGGGAAGTTTAGGTTAGATATAAAGAAGAAGTTTTTTACAGTGAGGGTGCTGAGGCACTGGAATGGGTTGCCCAGAGAAGCTGTGGCTGCCCCATCCCTCGCGGTGTTCAAGGCCAGGTCGGATGGAGTCTTGGGTGACATGGTCTAGTGTGAGGTGTCCCTGCCCACGGCATGGGGGATTGGAACTAGATGATCTTAAGGTCCTTTCCAACCCAAACCATTCTGTGATTCTAAATATCTGTGTTTACCTGTAGAGATACTTCATTCAAGTATCATGCTGTATGAGTTAGTTTTCTGACACTTCTCTCAGGCCAGAAAATGGCCTGAAATGTGACCACTGTAGCTTGAAACAGCTTCGTAGAGTTGTAGCACTTTAACAACCTGGACTTTGCATTTTCCAGTCATTTACTCCAGTTAAGCAGGGAGCCATGGGATGGCTCAGACGCTGAGGAATTGATTTTGAAAACCAGTCTTGCTGTCCCATCTACTTCAAAAGAGTATTTGGGGCAGTGCTGAGCAGTCCCCATCACAAAACTGTCACACTCGGTTGGTGTGATTGACCGGGTCTGTTGAGGAAAATTATCCTGGAGCCACAGTGACCCCCTCACCCTTCGAAGGGGTCGGGAGAGGGTGCAGTGGTTGGAGAGCAAGAGACCTGTGCTCTGGGACCGCCTGCAGCACGTCAGCCTCTGTGGCTGAGTCGAAATACTCATTCACTTTGTGTTTTCTCTTTTGAATGGCAAAAGAAATGTGACCTGTTTTCTTGTAGCCGGCTGATGTTACGTGTTGGGGACTGTTGTCATGGTTCTTGGTCTCTCAAGTTCTTAAAAGCTGGTTTATAAAGTACACAGCTGATGTTTGCAGAGTGCTCGCTGCGGGGAGGTGAAGCTGTTTTTCCCTGCCTTGCTTCCACAGGTACTGTGCCTTTCAGTGAAAGAGTTAAAGGAGCAATGTCAGGTTAAACATCTGCGTGCTTGATTTTTGAAGCACATGGCTCTTCCCTTCCACAGCATTACTGACACCTGAGATTATTAAAACTGAAAGAGTCATCAGTGGTCCCATCTTTTTTGTGCTGCTGTGCCTTACTGTTCCGGGTCTTTTTATTTAGACAAGGAAAATAAACTGATTGGTTTCATTTTATAGTTTTAATTCAGCTTCTCTTTTAAGTTAGAGTACAATCAGTGCTGACCATACATGTTCGTATTTGTGGAAAAAGATAGAGCTTCTGAAGAAGCTTGAAAAACCCCAGGCATTTGGTTAGAACTCTGTTTTCACAAAGGCTTGGGTTTTGCAAAACCTTCGTTATGAGCCAAACTGACCCAACAGTGGCCCTTTAAGAGACATGTTGGCAGTTAATCTGTTCTGGTTTACAGCATGTACATTGCTTTAAGAATGACTGGAATTCTAGGGGGAGGGAGAAGGGAAGCTTTGACCTCCATGTGCACATGTGCTGCTGCCAGCATCCCCTTGCTCGTCTCTGTGATTAAATGGATAAATCAAAGAACACCAGCTTCTTCTCAGTTCTCTCTGCAGTGAGGCTCTCTTTTTAGTTATTAGTAGCCAGCACGGCTGAAATACTTCCAAGCACAAAAGGGAAGGTTTCTACCAGTTATGTTGGTGTGGGAGCTGGTAGCCAGCCCAGTTGTTGGGGTTCTTAATGACACTTATTTTCCCTTTCACCAGATCCGAATGCATCAACAAGTTTGCCTCTGTCTTTGGGACCATGCCTCTCAAAGTGGTGGAGCACCGTGCTGACCCTGTCCTGTACAAAGATGACTTTCCTGAGAAACTGAAGAGCTTTCCCAATATTGGCAGCTTGTAAAAGCAGCTGTGAGACAAACCCGAGTGATGAAAACGACAGCTGAAAAGGTGCTAAAAAGGAATAAAAAGGAATATATGGCCCTGAAGAAAAGAATCGCTAGAGAGTGGGTTCCATCTGAGGGAGATGGGAATGAATGTTGTGTTCTGGTATATTGTCTTCCTTTTTCACTGCACAGAGATGTAATGGAAAGCTGAAAAACTGCTTCTCTTTTGATCACAGAGGATTGAATCTGTTCATGGTTCCTCCCAGAAATGCCCCACATGCACTTTCCTCCAAAGGAGGCTGTATGCGTCTGGAAGAATCAAACAGAATCTCGCTCTGTGACTGGCATCACTGACCTCTTCTATCAAATGTACTGCAGCTCTCTGGTTTGTAGCATCCACTCAAAGCAACTGTCTGCAGCGTAAGCTGCTCTCTTTTCAGAGGAGCTTCTTGCCTGTGTGGTCGTTGGGCCTCTGTCTTTTGAGCTTAATTGTTGGCGTAACTGTGTAACAATCATTCTTCTGCATAGTGAGACAAACATTTATCTTTTTACAACATCAGCAAGGAAAAGCTGTGTGTTGTCACGTGGCTTAAAGGGCAAAGCATTTTGTGTTTCATAAATTACTGTGGTGCAAATTGAGACACACAGCAGCTGGGAGAATGGTTTCCTTCAGAGCAGAGACCTGCAGAAAGAGAACCCCAATTGCTGCACCTCTTCTTCCTGCATAAATCTCAGGTTCTCTGCTGCATCTGTGCAAGAGACTGTGACTCTCTGTCAAAACTAGTTGTGTTACACAGAAAAAGAATGTGTCTTTCAGTCTTTCTATATTTTTGTATTTTCATCTTCAAAACAGTGGTCAAGTTACAGTTTTATGTCACAGCCATAGATAAGAACAGTTACGAAGTAAGTTTTTCACATCTGAATCCTCTTCAGCAAGCAGTGTGTTGTAGTATTGATTTGTAAAACACTTAAACGTACAGAATTTCCCAGTTACAGCTTCCATGTGGAGGGATGTGTGTAGGTACAAGACACTATTAATGCACGCTTTCAAACTCCTGTGAATTGCCATTCAGTCTTCTGGTAATTTAAGGAACAACAGGCTGCCACTGAAACATAAAGCACTGGAATTGTTTCTCAGTGCTGAAATTAACCTGAGTTAGAAAACTAAATGCAACAAAATTAGAAATAAAATTGCCTGGACTGTTACTTTTGCTCTGCAGTATTAAAGAGGATCCCAAGTTGGGGTGAGAAAACAGTCTCTTTTCCATCACCACTGATAATGTGTTTGTTACCAGATACGGGTGATTTCACTGTCTTTTGAAACCTCCATTACTGCCAGTTACAGAGACAATCCTACTTGATGGGCTGTTTTTCTGTTTCACTGCAAGCAACCTTATTCCTCAGATTTTGCCAAACCCCAAACAATAGGACAAGTGTTAGGCATCACGGTTCACCCCCTCTCCTAAGCTGGATATGCAGCAATGACAGAAACCAAATGAAAGTCAGGCTAGAAACAGGAAACATCTGCTCCTATTTGTCTCACCCCCACTAAGACTTATCTTATTGCCCAATGCAGTGGATGTGCTGTGAATGAAAATCATATTGGAACAATAGCTCTGAGGGGATGCTTCACTTCATAACTCCCCTGGGATGTGCCTGTAAACTGTATCGTCCGATTCTCTGGGAACATTTAATTACTAGTAAATGTTCTTCCCTGCAGTCTTTGTTTCATTCCTGAGTTGCTGTGGGAGGGGCTATTGGGGAGCTAGGATAGCTGTTGCAGTGATAACAACTGCTGTCTGCACAGTGGGTGTCACAGGAGAGAAGGAGGTTTGTCGCTTGCTGTTTCTCCTTTACAGCCTCTCAGGTTCAGTGACATGAACTTTCTTTCTGAATCTTCCCATTGATTTATGTCATGGTGCTTGAGCATCAGGAGGTACCTGCATATTTCCCTTGAGTAGTTTGTTTTGAAAGGGTCATTGTGACAGTGCAGTAGTCACTTCAGTTTTGGCTGTTCTTTTGGGGCTGATCTCAGCTTGGCAGGCCAAAGCAGTTTAACCGAGTTACAACATCTTCCTTACCCAGAGCAGTGAAGCTGCTGTGATTTCCTCGTTCTTTCTCAGTGAGCCAGTTTTGCACAGTGTTAAAAGACACACAGAGGATTTGAAATACTTGGTGGAATGTTTTTAAGTGGGGACAGCCCAATCAGCCCTCCTGAAGTGATTTACGGTCTCAGGTCAGTAGAAAGGCAACAGGTCCTTGTGCCTGCATCCCAAAGCATCCACAAAATGCCCAGTGACCCCTAACAGTCATGTATTATCCTTTGGCATTTTACAGTTGCATCTCATTTAGCTGGTAATTTGTCTCTGGTTTGTGCCGTGGAGAAAATGGGCTATTAACTGTAAAAAATCCAATGTAAAATGGTCTGCTTCACCCCTCCATTTATGATTGTGATGTTCCTGATGGAAAATGTGAAGGTAAGATGTACCTGTGTGTCTGATTTCAAAGGGGTTTGTTGTCAATCTTTAAATTAAGATCATTTTTAACTTTTGATTGTATGTATGTTATCAAAAAAAAAGGTTAATATTGGTATATTAAAAAGTAAATCCATGGAGTGTTCATTGTGTTTCCCTTCTGGAGCAGCACAAGGAAACGTGGATGCATGTAGAAGGGAGAATTGCAGCGACAGGCTATTTTGCTACATAAATCCGTGTTAAACTCAAATATCCACAATGTACTTTATAAAGATCTGTCAGTGTTTTGTCTTTCCCATAACTGGAGTTGGATGGTTGTCTTTGAAGTAGAAGTTGGCTCTGCACGAATTCATCCCAGTCACCTTTTTGAGGAGAGTAGTTGTTACTCTAATTTTCTGCCAAGGTTTGACAGTAGCATTTATCTTGGAGAAATAGGGAACAGATCCTTTCTCTTCTTGTGAAGAGAGACAGCAAATGTTAAAGAATGGTGCTTTTGAGAGAAGAGCTTTGGTGGAGCCATGGAGGTTGTGGAATCCAGTGTGGTGGCAGCTCTTTGTTTCCAGAAGTGCTGCAGTGCTGGAGCATGCTGCTTGTGCATAGCAATGGGTGTGATGGAGTGATGTGCCCCAGTACTTGCCCTGCCAGTCATGGGGTGTCTTAAGGAGACATTTTTAGCATCACCAACTCGTCCCTACTATGTGTTGACTCTTTCCTTCCTCACAGCTCCACTATCTCATTACAGGACATGCCAATTCAAGCTGTAATGTTCTGAATTACTCTCTCCTGCCATCTCCAGCTCCTACTCCTGAACCTCCTGCCATCCATCATGCTTCCGCTGGTGCGGTTCAAATATGCCTTACTGCAGCAAGCAGTTTATCCCTGTCAATTAGCAGTTCAAGGGCCTTTTAAACTCCAGGGTCTTGGAGACACAGCAAAATAATTGAGAGGTGGGATCTAGGAGATGCTCAGCACTTCAGGCTCATTTTGCTTTTAGGCTGTATTGGTGAGTGTTGAGCACTCTGGAAAATTGCCATACTGAGACACATGAAACTGGAATTAGGTGGGCAATTTTAATGTTAAAGTACCTTTAAGGTTTGGATAAACACCCTCTGTAACAATTGGCTGGTACTCTGGGTGCTTCTCAAAGTAGAGCTCCTTTTGACCAGGAAAATGGTTACTTGGTGGTGCATAAATCTTCTGCCAACCCCTTTTCCATGGAAGCTGCTGTCGTAACAGGGCTACGGTACGATACAGGAAAGACAAACTGAAACTGACGGTGCTGATGAGAAGATGGATTTTAAATCCCATGGCCAGAGATCAGACAGAGTGAGTATGAATTTTTCTATCATTCTTCTTAAAGACTTGCATGTTTAAACAACGTATTCTGCAAAGTTGTGTTTGATTAAATACATGCTAAAAGATAAGCATCCAATTGGTCCAGTTGCTAACTACAGTCTGGTCCTGAAGGATTGGGAAGATGCCTATTCCACCTATATTGTCTTTTAATTTTTAGGCCAGAAGCAATACTTTCTGTCAAAACCTGCCAGAAAACTCTGAGCACAGTATTATTTACATCTTTCTGTAAGATCTAAGGTTATCCCATGAGCAGGTAGTCACTTCAAACCTCTTGCTGTCATTGGTATGTAGACAGAGATGGCATTTGCTTAGCAGAAAATTCAGTTAGATTGTGCTTTGCTGTTGAGTTGTATCTTCATTCTTCAGTTGCATCTTGTACTGTTGGGAGAGCATGTAGGATGGTGTAAGTTGTTTTTATGATGCACAGTCTATTGAGCTTTATGTTCCTTCTGCTTGGGTATGATCAACCTGCAACTGCAGATAAGGAAATGGGGAGAGACTGTCATATACCCAAAGCCTTAGGAGTTGCATGGGTTAAAACCAGGATTAACACCAGTACCCAAGCCTGTGTTTTAGCAGAATGGCCACACTTTTGTCTGAAGTGTTTGTTTGCAGTTTTGGGTAGCTCAGTACCAAGGTAGAGGACTGTTAGCCTTGACATTGAGTCAAGCCTGCCCTGGCTTGAAGCCATTTAGTGACATTCCTGGTGCACTCTGTGTAATTTCAGCCTGATGGAAACGGCTGTAGTGAAGTCCCACCTCTGCTGATCTTCAGGATTCCCCTGTCTGCAGCTTCTTGTGGTTGCTTTGAAAGCGAGTTATGTTTCCCATTAAAGGATAACAGCGACAATTGAGGCAATTAACTGGAGCGGCATGGAGCTAGCAGCACACAGGGAGTTTTCCGACTGGAAACAGGGTAGCTCAAAGGTTCTCCCTGCAAGGTTGCCTGTTTGCTGTCTTCATTTGTCTGGAAAAGGATCCAGTAATTCCCCTTCACGTTTCCTTTCCTCATTTAAAATGCCTGTTTGCTTGGCTCCAGACAAGCAGGACAGCTCTGCAGTGGCTGTGGGCTGAGATCAAGGCAACTTGGTCATGGTTTCATTAGGTCTGCAGACTTGAATCAGTGCTTGCTACCAGACTGTATGCAGGGGGGGAAGATGGGCAATGGGAGAACTGGGTGTCTGTAAAGAGAAATAATCCAAGTTGTATTTCTACTGAGTTGTAAGAAAAAGAAACTACCAGCTCAATTATTAAGTGACATCTGTTGGGTTTTTAACCTACATTTTAATTGATGGAGGACTGGAAAAAGGTGAAAGCTGGATTGCTTGGCCAAGAATTTTGGTTATACTGACCTGAGTGAGGTTTTCTATGTGTGATTATGAGACGTGGTTGCTCTTGCTTTTAAAGGTGAAACTTCTCTCTTCTGTCCCCTACCCTGTTCTGTGCAGCAATGGGAACCTGTAAAACTACAAGTCAAAGCTTGGGACTGGCTGAAAAGTGCAGGATAT